CCCCCCCCCAAAAAAACAACTTTGTAGTAAATGTGAAAACAAGTCAGTTGAAATGAAGACTGATATAAAAAAGAGGGGGACACTACATTCAGTTTTATCTTTTATTTTTTAAACATAAAATACATAATCTCATTACCATTGCGTTGATGGTGCATTATATATTTAACTGTGTGATATTAATAGCATCACCAATATGATAATTATAACCATAACTACAACACATAAACAACGGCTATGCAGATCCACACATACCTCTCATATGTAATGTACAATCACACATACAATCACACACACACACACACACACACACACACGCTCGCGCACACACACACACCCATACAAGCATTACGACCATACGTTACATTGGGTAGTGAACAATGTTTATTTACATAATGACTAGTTTGTCCGTGTTGTCACCGTGACAAACATAATTAAATGGGGATGGTCTACTTCAACATTTAATTAGTAAAGGTAAGTAACTACACAACGTGCAAGGTATTAAAACACACCTAGGCATTCAAAACGGCAGATACGGCACACTCGGCACAGCCTTGATATCATAACATTGCACCTGGTATGCTTGCCATTCGTTAATTGCACCATGGAATCTATAAACAGTTCCACCCATAATGCATTTGGTCCAAAGTAATAAGTAAAGCCACCACGGGTTATGTTTTAGCACTTAAGCCGGAAGTAATTCGTCTTGCACACCATATTGAAGGAGTCAGATTGTCAGGAAGGTATGGGAACCCCCCACCCCACCCCACCACGGATATCATATCAACGCACAGCACAACCACGGAGCCATCAGGAGAAAAGACTTAGGGACGGTAGAATCACAGAATGTAAGCGGTCACATCACAGGTCCAGAATGCTTGTGTATACCTGAAAAAGTCAAATATATTGATTTTAATATAAATACTATATTTTGCTAATATGATCACACAAAAAGTTTCTGTGTACCCTATTTGCACCCAAGTAGATTATTTTTTTATTTGGTAACATAATTGTAAACACGTGGTAGCAATTGTGTTTTCAAGATGTATATTACTATACATTGATTAATCAAAAAAACACGTTCCTATCTTTACTGAAATGAATCGATATCTGTTTTAACATTCAACGATGTCATCAGTGCATCTGCCATCCTTCAAATGTAAACAGATTCATTGCTTTCCATCATTATTTTAAAGAAATGATTCAAAATATTCGAAGAGGTAGATGACTCCGTCAAATTTGTTTGACAATTCAATTGATGATTAAGACATAGTGAAAAGTTTTAATATTTTCAATAGTAGTTTTTGGCTCACCGTTTCTTGCTGTATCCCAATGGGTATCTGTTCCGTTCTTACAGCAGTTGTCTCGCTCACAACCTGGTACTCCATGAGAGAGGGGCTGGAGTTTTGGAGGATGGTGTATGTGGTTTCTACGTCTTGTTCTGTGTGTAAAACGTCATCAGTTAGTGTGTTTGCATTATGAATCGTTGAAGCATGTCTCTAAAGCAATTTGGATAGCGAGATGGTTTTTAAATATAAGGACAAACTCAATTCGAAAAACTTCAGAGGTGGTACGTAAGGATTTCCAAGATATAAACGACAATAGATAGTTTGGACTACACCCATCTTTTGTTTTGAAATTGGAATTGGAAAATAGATATATTTACCCATTGCAATATCAGGTACGATTCCAGTCGTCCACAGACTTTCGTTGTAGGCGATCTGATCAGGTTGTATAATATCTTCCAGTAAAAGCATCTGAAGAAAGCAGGCAACAGGTAAGTATTCAGAAGTCAGAAACCACAACATTTTACTGTGACATATGCTTGTTATGTCCTTTAAATAAACCATTTTAGCGAAATATTTTCTTCTTACTGTTGATTTCAAGTACTGTTGGTTTCTACTATCAAAAGCGAAATTTTCTCCAGATTATTGTTACAAATGTTCTGCTAGATAACTGATCACTTCTTCCAAAATTTTATGATTTACTGAAATAACGAACATCCCAAAATATATAATGTACTGTTATGCTTGTGGTAAAATGCGTGTTCTCACTTAAATAGGGCTTGACATGAAGTATATTCTACTAAATAGGTCATGACGTAAAGTATATTCTACTTAATAGGTCATGACGTAAAGTATATTCTATTTTAATAGGTCATGACGTAAAGTATATTCTACTTAAATAGGTCATGACGTAAAGTATATTCTACTTAAATAGGTCATGACGTAAAGTATATTCTACTTAAATAGGTCATGACGTAAAGTATATTCTACTTATATAGGTCATGACGTAAAGTATATTCTACTTAAATAGGTCATGATGTAAAGTATATTCTACTTATATAGGTCATGACGTAAAGTATATTCTACTAATAGGTCATGACGTAAAGTATATTCTACTTAAATAGGTCATGACGTGAAGTATATTCTACTTGTATAGGTCATGACGTAAAGTATATTCTACTAAAATAGGTCATGACGTAAAGTATATTCTACTAATAGGTCATGACGTAAAGTATATTCTATTTAAATAGGTCATGACGTAAAGTATATTCTACTTATATAGGTCATGCCGTAAAGTATATTCTACTTAAATAGGTCATGACATTAAGTATATTCTACTTAAATAGGTTATGACGTAAAGTATATTCTAATTAAATAGGGCATGACGAGAAATATATTTTTAATGGGATATGATTAATGGTTGTAAGTTACGTGTTGCAAAGTTTTCAATAAGTTAAAGGGATTACCAAACAAGAAGTTGGTTAATCTGGTATAAGATAAAAATAAATTACCTCCACGACCTCTTCGTCTGTTAGGGTGCTGCTGGTGGTTGATGCGGCTGTAACAGGTAAAATCATGTTTTTAAGAGCCATGTTTACAAGTATCTCGGATAAATGTGTAGATGTAGCATGGAACAAATTTAACTCATTTCAGCCCTACATGTTGAAGGTAGACTTGCCCAGTCTTTGATTTAGCAAGGTTCAAATGTGACTTTAGGGATGAATGGGTTAACCGACTGGAATTAACAACAAAAGCTAGTACAGATGGCGGAATGAATGGTGGCCATTGAGAATGGGCCGCTCACTCGATAGCCTATTTAAAGTGCTATCTCACTTGAATCAATATGCTGGATAACAGAACTACTCGGTAGTGAAGCGGACGTAAAACCTATTGAATGTCATGGATGTATCGATTTAGTTTCAAATGTGCAATCACATGCCTGTGTTTGTTACATCATCTTTCAACAGCTTGTTGTTCTTATACTATAAACTTCATAAAATCAACTTACAATCATCTGTCGAATGCTGGGTCTGTAGTCTGGATTTCATTGGGTCGATCTCTGAAAACAAAACACAACTGGTTTAAAAACTGAAACTTTTATGTGTAAGGTACATCGATCGTTATTAATACGATACTTAGGCTAACATGTGTATACTTCAATGTATTGAATGTTAGTGTAGGAAAAAATCAATGAAATTTTATTGATCAACTTGAGGTCTATTTACAACCAACATTAGGGTTGGAACTAGCAATTTACATACATACTTCATGAAAAGCCCGTGCAACATTTCTTTTACAAGAAATGATCTTTTCAGACCGAATCCTACTTAACATAATTCTGTCAATATAATTAGCTGCAAGCTCACCCAATAGATGAAGAAATCAGAATATTTTCAATTAATTTGTTTTTGTCAAAAATGTTTTAAATGTCAATATCTGATTTTGTTTAATTCTCTAATAATGTCCGCTTACCAATGTGGTAGTCTGGGCAAATTTTGTCAAAGTGGGGAAAGTCACGATGTTCCGTTTCCGGTCTGGTTTCTGGAAGTGATTCGGCATCAGATGCTGAACAGGTTGTTTCGTCCCCACTATCGGACCGGTCTGACACTGGCGAGGCAACCTTTTAGACAAGTGTAGTTGTTGGTGTTATTCCAAGTAATATTATAATCAAGAAGCATGCTTGCAAAATCCAAATAATAACAAAGAGCTAACAATGTTTTTTTTCTCCAAAATCACAATCGCTTTGCCTCTTTGCTAACAAATCAAAATGTCCTCGCGTTGGTTAGTTCAACTCCATTAATTTGGGGGGGAGGGGGGAGGGGGTGTTGAGAAGAATAGTTATATGTTGATACAGAAAAGGGCCCAAAGTGCGGAGAAGTTGGTGCTACCAATATACCTGTACAAAGTAGGTAGCGAGTGTGTTCTGTGGTGGTATTGGAGTTGTTGAGAAACTTACCCCAGAGGACGAACTGTCATCGATGAAATCAATGCTGTCTGCTTCACTCTCACTGTCTGAGAATGTGTACTTCCGGTTGGGGATGCGGGTTCGCTGGGGTCTGGTGGATACTCGGGTAGAAGCTTTCGTTGTGACCTCAATCTCCTCAACCGGTCCTAAGGTACCGAAACGAAATGCATGATGGTCAGAAAACATTAACAAAGCTAACATGTGAGAGAAAGACAATTAACATTAATCCCTTCACCACTGTAGATCATAATGGACTCATCTAGATCAATGCATGGTAGAGTCTACTAAAGTTACATAGGGGTAAAAGAGTTGAGCAATATGCATTTTTTTTAGGAACTGAACTATGTAACTTTGGATACGAGATCGTGCTTCATGTGTGTAACACGTTTTCCCTGCCTCTAGCGATGAACATGAATGAATAGGTTTATGTTATTTTGCTTATTAATGCATATACATATATAAAGATCTAGTAATAGCTCATAGATGGAGAAGTTTTACACATCGTTTGGTTCATACTTTAACAGGAAAACGTTAATTACGGTAAATCAAACATGACCTAGTTAGCTTAAAATAGTATATAGCTCTAAAAAGTACAGTTGCTAAAATCAAGTTTTCCAATGTATTAAGGATTATAAAGGTTCCTCTGAATATTTTATCTGAAAAATCAGAAAAAAGGCCCTTACTTGAAAACTTCGATTTTTTTTCCTCCAGAAAGCGGTATACTTTGAAGGCGTTCTGGCCCCTCCGAACCCCTTGATCCTTGACCTCGGCTACATCTGGCAAGCTGTTGAGTGCACATCGGAAGTTAGCTTTCCACCTTTTGGGATCGGGATCATCATTGTCCATATGCTTACCTAAATAAGTATATTAAAGTTTCCTCGTGATTTCCGTCTTGTATATTTTATACATAGTGTATATCAGTGATCTAATTTGTTGTTAGTTATACGTTGTCAATATCTTTTACGAAGGGACCCGGATCGTGTTCATATTTCGTTTTAATCTTTGTTTCTTGTATACTAAAAAATATAAACAGAAAACTGTTATCATTTATTCTTTTGATGGAAAAATAATTCTGTTTAGATGCTGCATAGAATGAAACATACGGACTTTTAATTTTGTACCATTGTTTGTTAAATTTACTATCATTTATTTTATTTTATTATTTTTATCCCCTACAGGAGCCCCTTTGATATCTGTCTGAAGTAGGGCACTCGACCAATACGATATAAGGCGACACTATAGCAGGTCGAATCTCCCATTTTTACCGACTACAACCACTCATGTGAGCTAATTTGTCGAATGAAAACGTTTAAAAAATTCTTGTCCTACTTTTAGTTTAAACAGTATTTTATTCAATATATGGCAGTGACAAAATAATACAAAAATCAACAAAGAGCATTCGAAAACAATAAGTACTTATATCAATTTGTCTCCTTATTAATAAACCTGACAGTAGGACGGCACTGTTACATATATTTTGATAGTATAACCGACAAAGAGAAGAAGAAGAAAATATCCTACATTTACTTGACACCAGACGTTTTTCCTATTGTCACTTAATTTACGACAACAAGAAAAAAATAGGGAATGTCTTACTAGCATATATGTATATGTGTATAATATATCAATAGATACAGAATACCTGCTATGATTTATATAGCAAACCCCTTTGTGACAAAAACTGATTAGTGCACACCTTGTTGAATAAATTTAGGACAAGTGTATGAAAAGATCACACGCACACACACACGTATGAATCAATCAACACATATGTATTTGTACCTACCCGTGTGTCGGGCCCACTTCTCAAAAAGATCGGCATCTTTGTCTGGATTCCAGCCCTGGCGAGCTGCGTGTCTCCACGATATCCGGAAAGTCCTATCCCTCTTGGACAACCATGACAGTCCAGTCACATTTTCATGGAGCAACAGATTCATCAACCATGGTCTCATTTTTTGGCGTTCTATGGGACGAATCGGCTTTCTCATATTTGTTGACGATATTTTCCGTGACACAACCATTTTTTGTGCAACTCGCTACCTAAAATATTTAATAAAACAATATCTATACACTCACATTTGCTACACAGCTGTCAATTATCTTATCTTGATCAAAGTACAAGCAGCAGTATAGTTTCTGCAAACAAAACAAGGTCATTGCCTCCAATTCGACCAGGAAGTACATACGGGTTGTCAATTACACAGACCACAGTAATATATTTTGTTTTGTTTAGCTATAAAAGCTAACGCGTTGTGCAGCCATTCGTAACGTATGTGTATTGGGCAAATGATCGCAATGACAGCTAAATAGCGTAGCAGTAAGCCTGGGTGTTTGACAATTAAGTGTTGTAATCGCGTGAACTGTAGACTATAAAGATAATGCAAGTTTGCAGTGAGTGTGCAGACGTTTTGTTTGTTTTGTTCGTGGTTTTAATCGTCCCCGCAACAGCCAAGGTCACAGATACCGCCGAAAAAGCGGGTTGGCTGTCTACAAATAATGTCAACACAAGGACACATTTGTCTGCAAAGAATGTCAACAAAAACACTGCTCCATAAAGATCATGTAAACAGAATTACTTGTCTACAAGAATGCCGATAGTTTTGTCTATAGATAATGTCGACACGAGTATATTCGTCTACAAAAGTATCAACAAAACTATTCGCAGGGATGTCAACGCAATTTGTACTTTGTGAATATCAACAAGAATCAGAATATCAATAAAAGTTCATATTGCCTACAAGAGATGTCAACAAATGTACATGTTAACATATTACATTGCAGCACAAGTTACTAATAAAAAAGTAAGTTGCCTACAAGGAATGCCAACAAAAGTACATGTCAACATATGGAATAACAGCACAAGATAATTCGTCCACACGGAATGTCAACAAAAATAGTTAACGACTAAGACTTTCTCGTGTCAGCAGCGTTTGTACATACACACAAATACGGCACGCTACCTTTAAGGCAGTACTTTCGGTTTCGCGCTAGTGTTCATGTTATTGACGAACATAGAGTGTACCACTGCTTTAATGAATGGAAACCTGACGAGTCGGGTATTCGCAGTCAGTGCGTTTGAACAAAACAAAAATGTGACGACACCATAATAAAAAAATATGCATTGATCATGTACATGTATATAAGCACCGATATTTTCATTAAAATAACAACAAAATCCCATTATCACGTGCAAAGATAAAAATAGCATTTACAGCAAGCAGCCATCGTGCATACTTGCATCTGATGAAATAAAAGTCCGCAATAATATATAAAGATCAAAAACTATGTACACAAAACGAACATGTAACTCGATGTGTGTGTAGGCGAGCTTTTGTACACAAACTGAATCGCGTAGCATATCTGACAAAACCTAACAGTCATTTCAACACAGCTATCTAAAGTCAAACACTCCTACCTTTGTCCGTGTATGGAAAAACAGGCACTGTGAAATGACGAAGTCCTACTTTGAAAACACAGTCTCTATAGCTCCCCTATGCTCGGTTTAGCTAAACTATTCGTCTGTACAGCCGCGGCCGGTTATATCTCGTTATATACAAAGAAGAATGTCACATGACCCGATTCTGGGAAGTCCTGTACTTCTCAATACACACATATTGCCGGAATAACCTGTTATATTTATAGAACAGCGGTAATTCTTGTTGCTATTAATAGCTCTGACCCGCAAGCAGTCTGGAGATTTCACAACGTATTTTTAGAAAATATGTTAAGTCTTTGTCGGCGAAGTGGGTTTTTGTGCAATTATCATTCGTGATTAAGACCCAACGCTTTTTGAAAATTTCCTGTGATATACCAGAACGGCAGTATTTGTCGGTCAACTATGTACGATGACTTTAACTAATTAAGTGTTTTGTTGTGCAATATCTATTTATAGATATATCGTAATGTTTTCAATTAAATCTGCAATTTTTTTCAAATTTCCTGTATTCTAGAGAGTACATATATTATTTCATCATATATTCTTCTTCTTCTTCCAATTTCCGGCCACCGTCGACGTGTCGAAGATTATGCCAGTTTGTGTGTGCGCACGTTACTATTAACAGTTTAAGGATCGGGTTAAAAACTGGATAACTATGCAGGTACATGCTATCCTGATGTGCATTTATCTAAACAGTATTAATATCATCAAATACATATGATTGTGTTATCAAAATATTATAAATTCGATATCACGTACAGATAACTTTCTATAACCCCGCACGGTAATCAGATATAATCTGGCCGAATAGGCGTCATTTATATATATACATGCACCCCATGTTTATACTATATAACTAATGTAAATATTGTATAATCGTGATAGTGTAGCTGTTATACTTGTTTAAATCGAGGTTTTATTTCAATCTGTACTACGCTGAGAAAACCTTGTATTTATGCATATATGTAGGAACTGATACCGTTCGATCTGTTACAATTATCTAATTAAGACCCTCATAAACCCAACTTCCACATACATACCCCTGCTTCTACCGACATCTGTCTACTTCCTATTATTAAACAGCGCATAGATGATCAGGCAAAACAAACTTTATTCAACGCATTGGCCATCTCAAGTAAATGTGATCTCTCTAGATATATGGTAGATACCGTGATGTTGCAATATTATTTAACAAAGTTTATACCAAAACAACGTCAATTTAAGTTACCAAATTACGTATGTCAGCTCACAATCTTGCAATAGAAACGGGAAGGTACAGGAGTATTGCAAGGAATAATGGATATTGCAGTAACTGTGACCTAATAGAAATAGAAGATGAATGTCATTTTCTATTTACCTGCCCACGTCATCTAGATCTAAGGAGAAAATATATCAAAAATAATTACTGGCAAAAACCATCTGTATTCAAACTTATCGAATAAGTAAATACACACAATATAAAAGAAATGAATTTGTTAGGTAAATTTATTATTGAAGCTAACAAACGAAGGATTGTTTAACTTACAATTTTGTTTTACCTAATTTTGTATTACTTAATCGTATCATGTCCATGTTTTGTTCGTACAATCTTTCATGTTTAAGATGGTAAATACTCAATATTGTTGTATTTGATGATGATGAAGATTTATAAGGCAATGAAAATTATGATGATGATGATATAGATGTTTTCGATGATGTTGATTTTTTGATGATGATGATGATGATGAGATAATATAGATGTTTTCGATGATGTTGATATTTTGATGATGATGATGCCAGTAATATGAAATTATTTGTTGTTGTAAAAATGCAAATCCTTTAAGTTGTAAAACTTACGGAAATAAATTGATTTGAATTGAGGTAAGAAACCAATGTATTTACCTTGCTGGCCTAGGGTGACGTGTTACCTTACAAAACGTAGGCCTGGTAATAAATCACATGCATGTATTATTGTTTACATAGGATAGATATTGATTATTGTTATCTATTCGTCCACAAAGCAAGTAGGTCAAAAGCGAAATAACACTGGACCTTACTCTAAAAGATAAATACCCAGGTACACCTGTACATGTATACAGTTAACATATGGTGTTGGGGATATAGCAAGTTTCTGGTGTACCGAGACCAGGTCTATTTCCCGGGGTGAAGCATGCCTTCTTATTTTTTAAATGTTTATCACAAGGTTTCTCATTTACGCTTGCGTGTTATTTTGCAGGTGGCAAATGTAGCATTGAAGAAGAAATCACTATTCCACGTTTTTGCTGTTAGTTTTTGTTATATAAACCATAATTATATTTTTCATAATTTACAGTTATTCATATTATAATAATGAGGAAAGTAATTAATAGCTTACTATTATATCTCGCTCTATACATGTGTTTTGGAGATAATTTCCTAAATTCACAAACATGACAAATCCCATCCCATCAGGACTTAGTGAAGCAGTCCAATACAGTGAACATGCGTTTCACCGAAACATTAACATATATATGTAGGCCTACATCGGGGTAAGCTTTTGATAAAATGAGCAGTTCTCGGTATTAACTCATTTCTTAGAAAGTCATTTGTATAGTCGTGTTAAGAAATCCGTTGTATGTACACAGAGACGTATACATCTGCTGTACACCGGTGTTAGTAACCACGGACCACAGACATTAGACACGCTTTAGGTTTTGATATTAAGAAATCCTTACGTATAGCGACTATTAATAGAAGTTTTACCGATTCAGATCGACACCACAATATTTATATACACACCATCGGTTGGAATGGTGTTCAGACAGGTTTTGTTTAAACCCCTACCTAATGCTATGATACCTTTTATACCGAACGTAAGGTCTAATATTGTTTCGACATAGTAATGCGAACTCTGAATCTACCGACACCTGCCTATAATGACACTCTGTAATAATAGAAATTGGTTTATGTTTCCAAAACCCTGGTTTCTGTGTATTTACCGATGACTGTCATATCTTACCAAATTCACCATTTCCACTTGATGTCTGTATTGTCAGGGTTCACTTTAATAAACAGATCTGACACGTCAGTTTATAAACAATGGAAGACATACTGTAAACGATTTTTTAAAAAGCTAAATATTTGCCCTCTGACGAAATTGATTCGTGTTGAATTCATCCGCTTGTTCAAGGACGAAAAGCTACCGTGGGTAATTTCCGGTTCTAGATAGAGAAGTGTCCTCCCGGGCAGGAAATTCTATAATGTCTAAACCTGAGCCTACTTCAATCGGTAATCTCCTCTCCAAAGGTGCCGATTTCTCTCTTTCTTCTTACCCTCAAGTTGGGGAATGACATACACATACACGTCTTCATATGCATAACATGATAGCCAACGTAATGTATTCAGACATGACAACAAAATTCGATATCCATGTCATGAATAGTATTGTTTAACGAGACGGAGGGTGATGCCGTCTTTCGAACGTGCTTTCATATTTTGTCTGTATTCACGCTATTGGAAAATCCTAGCCGAGTGATTAAATAATGGAATTCCTTAGAATTTGCTTTCTTTCGTGTGACAAAAAGTAACGATGAAAATAAAATGAACAGATAAATTCTCTGGTCTGTGTTCAATACTGAATACAAAACATGGAGTGTCCATTATCTAGGCCGGTGTTTTTATCGAGTGGTTTTGTTGGCAGTTTTCCAGTCTATGTTTTGGTCTTCGTGCTATATTTAAGGAGATACGAAGCTCAAAAAGATATGATAGGTTCGTTGATCGAATATAGCGTCCCGTGAAAAACTTAATCCTTTTAAAAACGTGCATCCATGTGTGTACATCCTGCAGGTCGGGTATCGAGAAAAGAGCACACCTGTTGTTACCCACTGCATTTAAAGGGACATCACGTGAAGAGCCATATTTTTTTTAATGAATGTATGTATTGAATGCACTTCCACTTATGTTGCCTCGCAATCTCCATATTCATAGCCCGTTCCTAATGTCCAGTTTGACCACTTGAATTGTTCGGGAAAGCCCTGCTAAAAATAGCGCCGATAACGTCACCTGACTAGGAAGTAAACACTAGCGGTCTGGGCGAGATGAAACGGTTTCCAAAGGGGCCCCAAGAGAGGGGCGTCAGGCAACTGCAACTTTTTACCGCACTATGAAACCAAGTAATATGATTGCTAAGTCCATATTAAACCTTATTGAACAGTAGTTATTCATCATCCGAAATTAATTGCACGCTTGTCAATATTCAGAATTTAAATTTATTTAGCTTTAAACATATTTGTTGCCAATAAAATTGAACAAGGGATGGGGCACACGTTTTTACAATTTATCACAGCCTTCTCCCGTCATACATTTACAATTAAATGTCAACAATGATAATAGGCATAAACATAAAGTATATATATATAAATATATATTGAATTTAGTACCGGAATGTGGCCGGTACAGATGGTGCGGGGCTAAACATCTTCCCTACACCAAGGGAAAAACCTTTCTGATTTTTTTTTATATATTGCCGGGGCAGAGGAGGCCGGGTATTCATATTAGTACTAATTTAAATCTTGCATGTTAAAACAAAAATAATCGTTTAATTCAGCAATATTGAATTTAGTACCGGAATGTGACATCTATACGGGGCTAAACACCTTTCTACAACCATGGGACAAACCTTTCTGTAAAAAGGAATATTCCTTTTCAAATGTTTTCATAAAGTGCATATATGCAATGACAAACTACACGCGTATAAAAAAGAGAAACGTTTGTGATTTTTGTTATTACATTGTACAACTCAATATCTTTGGCCATTTTTTTTCTTTACCATGCATATAAATTTATGTATACTCTCTTTCCCACTTTCACTGTCTCCATATTATATATACGCTAACACTTAGTAAGTCATGTTAGCCATAACACACACTAAACTGTATGGCGAAACCACTACGTGTACATGTAGATTATGTCAGATATGGGACGTGTTGAGACAAACAAAAATCGTTTAATTCAGCAATATAAGTAATTCATACCATTTTACTGAACCCGGCAATATTATAAATTATGTAAATCTAAAAGCGCACGTATCTCATTTGACCCCGATCACGAGTACCGACAGAGACAGAATACGCCGTGGCTTTCACAACAGTTAACC